CGCCTTCCGGTCCGCCTGCTGCGGCCGGCCCCCATCGCTGCGGTGGGGGGCCGGCCTTCAGTTTAGGGTTTCGGGTTTAGGGTTTATAAACAAATATAATCTACCCAAAACCCTATTCTAAGCAGCATTAAGGTCCATATGTTACCATTATGGTGCTTCAGTCTTCTGTTCCCAAGAAGGAAGAAACTCCATGTTGGGCGTTTTGTTTTGAATTTGGGGTTTAGGGTTTTTAGGGGTTTAGGGCTTTAGGCTTTTAGGGTTTAGGGTTTTAGGGTTTTAGGGTTTAGGGGTTTAGGGTTTAGGTTTTAGGGCTTTAGGGCTTTAGGGTTTAGGCTTTAGGGTTTAGTGGGGGTCTTTGTTTGAATTCTTTAAATGCATCCGAATATTTTGGGGGTTCTAGGACCAGAGTTTCTTAACCAGGTCCGAAGAAGTTATCTCCCAAACCTTCGAACCCATGAAACTCTCAGCAATACAACCTGGACCCTAAACACTCGAACCCTTAAATCCAGGACACTCACAACCACCACACACGCGATCGAAAACCGCAGCCCGCAACTCCTTTCAAGAAGCCCTAACCCTAAGTGACTTCAATTCGCCATCACCAAACCTCAAACCCTAAAACCTTAACCCCCCTAAGCCCCCAAATCGCCCTAAACCCTAAACCCCAAACCCTAAACCCTAAACCCTAAATCCTAAACCCTAAAGCCAAAACCCTAAACCCTAAACCCTAAACCCTAAACTAAACCTTAAAAGACCCCAAACCCGAATCCCGACAGGCTCAGGACCCAACTCTGTCGCGCCGGACGTGAAGAAGATCTCCTAAGTTGGGCTTGCGATCGGTTTAGGGTTTAATGTTTACGGTTTAGGGTTTGTTGTTGGGCTTTCGATCGGTTTAGGGTTTAGGGTTTAGGATTTGAGGGCTTGAGGGTTAAAGGTGCATTATAGGGGCCTTAATAACCAGAATGAGGTTTTTGGGGTGTATTATACTATAGCTATAATAAGGAGACCCCAAAATGACAAAGGCAATTGTTAAGGCCCGTGTAGTAGGGTCGGAAGTCTGGATTCAGGATCAGGATCGCAGGCTTTGGGCTTGAGGCTTCCGGACGTCTGGGTGGAAAAGGGTTTAGGGTTTAGGTTGGCTTTTGGGCTTTTGGGGTCTGAACAGAAAAAGCTGGAACAAGTAGTAGTAGTAGTAGTAGTAGTAGTAGTAGTAGTAGTAGTAGTAGCAGGAGTAGTAGTAGTAGTAGTTGTTGTTGTAGTGGTAGTAGTAGTAGTAGTAGTAGTAGTAGTAGTAGTAGTAGTAACGTCTCTGGGTTTAGGGATTGCTTAGGGCTAAGGATTTAAGGCGTTCAAAGGTTTCGCTTAGGTTTTGCGCTATTTTGGCTCTGATGAAACCCCTGATTGATGACCCCCTTTTAAGGGGAAACAAGTGTGACACCTGAGTATGAATACGATCTCTGTGATAATTCCTTAAGCGTGGGGAGGTGGGGGGCCGGGGGGTTATGAATCAGTGATCCAAAAAATCTCAACAAACCCCCCTCTAAAGGCTTGATAGCTCAATGGTAAACACAGAAGGGCTTTGGGTTTAAGGTTTAGGGCTTAGGGTTTGTACGGTTTAGGATTTAGGGTTTAGGGCTTAAGGGTTTAGGTTTTGGGCTTCAGGGGTTTAGGGGTTTAAGGAGGGCTTCGGGATTCGTGAAACCTCGCCTTCGGATCGGCATTGATCAGCTTGGCGATCTGCACGCGGGCCTCGCTGCGGCAAAATCCTGCGCTACCTCTGAAGGCCTCAACATATGCAAAGCATGCTATACGGTTGATGATTTAAATCCTGCATTACCTTAAGGACCCAGAAACTATGGGAATTATAGCAGATTCCTTATTATTATTATGGGTAATGCTGGATTTAGGGTTTAGCTTTTGGGGGTTTAGGGTTTAGGGGAGCGTTATGGGTAGAAGGCAGGGGTTTGTCCATCAGCCGAATCTCATTCCACTCCTCGACCCCTAAAAACCTATTCGTTTGAAATTTTCATGGGACGTAAATGGGTGGTTGTCAAAATTATGGTCCCTTTTTGGGTCCTTATTATAATACGGCACCTATTATATAGGGTACCCCAAAAGGGACCCTAATTTTGACAACTACCCAAATAGGGCTGGATCTTTAGTTGCCTTTGCATCCCCAAAGGTTAGGCTGAAAGCTCAACTTAGAAGACCCTGCACCGTCCACCTTGAAGTAACCCAAACCCCTAGCCCCAAAACTCTTTGCTAGGTTCGAAGCCCAAGCCTCGAATCACCTCTTCGTCGTTGTTATCTCTCGCCCCTAAACCCTAAACCCTGAACCCCGAAACCTTCAGGGTAAACCCACTGTAGAGTTATGGAGCCCTTAAGGTAACCATTTAAAGGACCCTTTCTGTCACAGTAGCAACCCCCTTATAGTCAGCCGGCTCTTTTTCTGCCATTCTGAAGCCTTACGCCCCTATAATCTAGGGGCCTCAATAACTGTCTGGTGCTTAGTAGGGAATGGGGGAATGGATCCCTATGATAGCCCCTTAAGGTCCCTTATAGTAGCCCCTATAACCCATTCCCCCATTCCCTACTAAGCACCAGACAGATAATTAGAATAGGGTTCCGGGTCCCTTTATACTATACTTATAACAAGGAGCCCCCGAAAATAGTATGGATAATTGTCGAGGCTCCTATATTATATGTACACACAGAAAGAGAGAGACCGTTCGAGCTTGCAACTTAAACTTTCACACGCGAGATCAGAAGCCTGAAGCCAGTTCCCCCACAACCTCATCATACGATTTAGGGTCTAGGGTTTAGGGGTTAGCGTTTAGGGTTTAAGGTTTAGG